AGGGGCCTCAATAACAAGAATAGGGTGTTGAGGTATATTATACAAGAAGTAAAATAAGGGACCCCCAAAATTTTCAATTTAGGCCGCTACATTATTAATAGAGGTGCGAGGCCTTGGAATAGAAACTTGACGGAGCCCGGATACTTTGAAGAAGAAGGGTCCGGGGTGCATTGTAAACTGATTGCATGGGGCACAAGAGAAGGGACGAGCTGGGGCAGCAACGACAAGGACCAAAGCAACTCTGCCCACGAGGACATACCAACTAGTGACGAGGCACTTGGAAATAACGTTATAAGAATTTGCTTCCATTGAAGCTGTTGGCATCTGCAATCATCTGTATCCAGATCCCACGACAAAAACCTGTACATGAGATGTCAACCCTCAAAGCCATCATCTCTGGGCCCTGCCCTGGAGATCAGACTTCGAACCTTCCGTCACAGGGTACCAAAAACCCCTAAACCGAAGAACCCTCATGCAGATCTCGCTATACTCTACGGAACCTCTATCTGAACCCTCCACCCTGACACTTGGATTGGACCTTGAATCAGAAAACCCCGAAACAAAAATCGAAACTCGTGGAATGCCCCATGCACACATGACAGAACCCTTTCAAGAAAGCTCACAATACTGGACTCTGTAATGATACGGAAATTATATAATATAGGGGCCTCAACAATTGGGGCCCATTATACTATACTTATAATAAGGAACCCCCAAAGTAATATAGGCAATTATTTAGGCCCCTATATTAGTGTCACTGTAGTAACCCTTATAGAGACCTCGAGTTCAATCTTACATAACACCAGTTTCTACGCCCCAAGCTTTGAGTTTCCTTACTTAAGGTTTAGAGTTCAGAGTTCGGGGTTTAGGACTTTAGGGTTTAGGATTTACGGTTTTGGGGTCTTAGGGCTTAGGGCTTTAGGGTTTTAGGCGGTCAGGGCTTTAGGATTTTAGGGTTTAGGGCTTAGGGCTTACGGTTTAGGGTTTAGGGTGTTAGGGATTTGCGGTTTTAGGGTGTAGGGTTTGGGGATCTAGAGCAAAGGGGTTTAGGTTTGCCAAGGAGCTGGGATGCTTCGGCTGTAAACGGCGCTTGCCTCTGCCACCCATGGTCAGAGGGCTGAAGATTTTGTTTTGGGGGACTCCTTTCAGGCATCTTCTGATGGATTTAGGGTTTAAACTGCGGGCGTTTCGGGATGGTTTATGTAGGCTTTCGGGCTGAGGGATTTTCAGGAAAGCTGGATGTGGCAGGCGGGGCGATGCAAATGTCTCACAGTGTCGGCAAACTGTTACACACTTCGTCGACTTTGCCAGCTACGATTCCCCACAGCTTCTTGGCTTTCGTAGTCAGTATTCATGCTGGCGCCCGAGCCTGTCGATTGAACATTGTGAGGGTATGAAGATATGACCGCAACATGTACTCCACTGCCCTCATCGGCATACTGCTGCCGTACCAGCAGCAATCACGAAAAGAAGACTAAGAAGAGGAAGAAGAAGCAGAGGAATATACACAACGACAGCCACCACAACCACAACCAGCACCGGCGCCATCACCACCACAAACAAACAACAAAAACACAACACTGCTACTGCTGCCACGATAGTGTCCGACTCTACGATGGCGGCTCGGACACACTTCGGCCAACCACTATGTTCATGATAGGAGCGATTGTAAGGACAGGGATTGAGATGACGCTGACAGACGAAAAATGACGGCGACAAAAACGAAGAACAATAATGTTAATGATAAGAAGACTAGCATTGTTGCAGTAACATGGACAGCCATAAGGATTGCTTGTTCCGGTTGTTGCTAAACTCACGACCATGATAAAAAAAAAGAAGAAAAACAGCACTATCGTCACATGCGCTGTAATTACTGCTAGAAGACGGAGCATGGTAGCAGCGAGAACTGCTGGTGGCTGCTCTCGTCATGCGTCTTGGCCAGCCAGGCCGCAAGCGACCCGCAAAAGATCACAAGCAGGAGCCACGCGCCAGCCGCCTGCCGGCAAAGGGCTGCAACAAGTGGGAAACAAGGCTTCGGTGCTCCAAGACTTGACAGATGAAGGCTTGGGGTCCAGGGTTACAGACCATTCCGGTGGCCGCGAATAGACACAACTTCAATGATAGTATGTGTGGGTCACAAGAAAAAGTGTCAAGGTAGACGAAGCAAGAACCAGCATTCTCCTCACCGTGGTCATTCGTCGTCACTCGTGCTCGTGATCAGCATGGTGTTTTGCCATGCTTGACAGCTTCACATAGCAGGTTTAGTTAGTTTAATTTCAATGGGTTGGAGTTTGGCTCCGGGTTTGGGGCTTAACGGGTTCAGGCATTTTCAAAGTTGAGGTTTTATCCCTCTTGTAGGACAGCAATAGAGCTCGGACCGCGCAGTGTGATCTGCTCGACTTTCAAGACACAGACTGGCAGCAAAACGAGGTGCATACGACCAACAGACCCGCCCCCCTCCCCCGAGACCAGCAGCCTCTCAGAATCCTTATAGATACAAGGCAGTCGCCCTAAACCCTAAACTCTAAACCTTAAACTCTAAATCCCAAGCCCTCAACT